AGATTGGTCAAGTTACAACTAGAATTGCACTGCCTTTGTCATGCTTAGCACATTAAAAGACTTAGCTGTGAGTGCTCCTCTCTCTGGGGTAGTAATTAGTGCACTGACTGCTGTCTATAAAACAACAACAACAGAACCCCCACTACTTTACATTAAATGACACCCATAGGAGTTTTTCTTCTAAAATGTTTTAGGTAGCCCAGGCAATCAACTATGAAGCGATTTGTAAAGCTTTGTGAATTATAATATCTGAGATAAGTTGGTAAGACTATATACCACATAGCAATTTATCATCAATATAGATCCCAGAAATGTCCTGAATAAGGTCTCTGTAGCCATATAAGCTATACATTGTTTTGAGAAAAAAAAAAGCTGATTCAAGAAAAAACGTAGGATTACTGCAACAAGCCAGACCCTGGTCTCTCAGGCCCCTGTGGCTCTAATCCATAATCTCACAGTCTGATGACAGAACTATATGCTTGCCTCAGAACTTATACTAGAATTATGAAAAATGTTTTGAAAAGCAAAGCATCATTTTAAGGGATTCCCTGAAATCCCCTGAGTTTGTAAGTTACCACATTGGATGCCATATTGGCCTAATCTTCAAAAATTAGCAAGTAACTACAATGGAGCTACTGCCAGACTCTCCCAGTATCTTGAATTCCCCAGCTCAAAGTCAAAAGGAGCCATCATTTTGTATCAAGAGACTGAAATATCCTATTCTCATCCGTTCTTCCCTTTTGGGGGGAGAAGATTAAAGGCTTTTCTCTTCTTGTTCTTCATATGTGCTCATGATCCATTCCCAAATCAACTTCTCCATATTATTTTTCACTTCATTTGCCAAAACAGGAAGGATCCTTGACCTCTGTTTTTCCCTCCTCATTATGCTCATTCATTTGCCAAGTTCACCTGTTTTAGAGTAATTTCTCCCCCCCTTTCCTACAAGTTAACTCATATTCATCCTTCAGATCTCAGTTTATGTGTCACTTTCTAAATTGAAGATACCATCCTTGACTCCCTGAGTTTCTTTATGAGTCAGGATGGCTGAGTTATGCTACCATAATGATCAAGCCCTAAAACTCAGTGGTTTAACACAATGAAGTGACTATTTCTTACTCATGCTACATGTCTGTCATGGCTTAGAAGGTGAGCTTTTCTCATTGTCGTTTCTTAGAGACTCAAGCTAATAGAGGTTCTTTCTCACCTGTGATTCCATGAGAGCCAAGACAGGAAAAGAAAGATGGTGAATCACTCAGTGACTCTTAATTTCTTTTAGAAAGTGATATATTTCCACTCATACAATTATGAGTGACCAGCTTCCCCCACTCTAATTTTTGTGAAGGTAGGATTACATGTCTTAATTACTATTCTCTCTGGTGTCTTAGTTAATATTTGACACATAATAGGAATTCAAATATATTTGTTGAATGAATGAATGAATATGGCAGAACTTCTTATTTTGTAAGTTCTTGGTCCTGTATTCTTTCCTCTACTATTTCTCCTTGAAGATCTTATTCCTTGCCTTGATTTCAGCAATCTCTTCCCAGAGAGTGATCTCCATACCCTGACTTCAATCAGACATCTCCAACTATTTACTTGATATTTCTACTTGAATTTATAATGCATAAGTTTGAATTTATTCATTTAGTAAATACTTGTAGATTATTTTCTGGTAAGGATCATGATAAGTGATATGAGGATACAGAAATAATTAACAGTACTTAACCTTCTGAGTGCTAACAATTCAGTATTATACAAGGAATAATACAGTGAGTCTGTAATACATTCACAGTGTACGAAACACTGATTCTAAAGAGAAGAGAGACAAATGACTTTGGGCAGGATGGAATTAGAACTTGTGTTGGTTCAACTATCCAATCTGTTGAGCCAACATCATTGCTGAAAAGCGTTCTGGGCTGGGTAGTAGAGATAGCATGAGCAAAGTGAAGTTTTTATCTACCTCACAATCCAGTAGGGAGACAGGTAGCTAAGGAAACAGCATAGATGAGGTTTTGATGAAGAGCAGGACAGTGATTGAGATGTAATGGGGAGGGAGCAAAGGAAAACATTTCCACCAGAGGGTTCCACTTGATTAAATATCTGGAAGCAGAAATTATTGTTGGTATTTATGCCAGGAAAGATGTAATGAGGCACTTGTTCAGATGGCAACAATAAGACTCAACTATGATGACTTTTCTTAATTGTCACAAATACTTTAAAGACCAAATAAACACAGGTTGTTTTTCAACTTAATATAAAAAATATTAGTATTATGTGTTTAATTTACTTTATTTCTCTACCTAACTAAATCTTCTAAGGATAAAGGAATATTATGATACCTCAAGCAAGATGCAGGTGGGAACCAGAGCAGGCTTTGCCATCTTGTGCACAAAGGTTTTCAGCCAGAGAGTGCCGCAGTCTGGCTGCAGCGAAATAACCGGGGGGTGACGAGCAACTTGTGTACATTGATACAGCAGAAGTGGGAGCCAATTATTGTAGGACCAGAGGGGTATATATACATTACACAAAGCTTATCTTAATTAACATAAACTAGATACAGCAGTCAACCAATAAGGAATCTCCACACTTAATGGCTCGCTGGCATTACTTCACAAACCACTCCCTCTGGCAAAATGCCAAGCGCCATCTTGACTTGTTTACAGACCCTAACATTTCCCCCTTTTGTTTAATTTAAATAACAACCATAGTGGTTTTTACACAAACACCATAAATAATCTGCTACAAGCAGAAGGGGAGGATACAAAATGCCACAATATCAAGCCAATTGATGGCTCCATGCAAGAAGCCCTTGGAAAAATTATACCAGCAATGACACCGTTTGCAAAGATACCAAGTTACAATTTGTTGTAGATTACAGTTTGTTGTCTCAGTCCAGGTAAAGCAGTGTCTCAATAGATTAACTCACAGTCCAGGTAAATCACAGCACAGGTAAGTTCTGCAGGCAGCTAGCTTAAATCACAGACCAGGTAAGTTCTGCAGGCAGCTAGCTTGATCCGAAGTCTCGTCCGGTTCTCAGCAACACTGGAAATTCTTCCACCCTCGTCCTCACTGGCACTGGGACGAAGGCAGGAACTCCGACAATGCTGGGTAAAGAAAATCCTGTAGCATTCCACTAAGAAAACAACCTTCTGAACAATTTAGTACATTATCTCAAGGTTTTTTACATTTGAAATAAGCCTTAATAGTGCTCATTACTCATTAGCTTCCAGGTGTGGGAGAACCATTGTAGTTATTGACATTGGAAATGACCAAACTTCAGGGACACAGGACCGTCTTCCGCCTGCAGCATCCCGGGCAGCCTCAGATGGCCCCGGAGAGAGTCTGGGGAGTGTTCCGGACTCAAACTACTACTGGGCACAGGGAGCAAGAGCCTTCGAGACTGTGCCTCCGGGTCAGGTTTGGATTTGGGCTTGCGGCAGTGGTGTCCTGCTCCCTGGGCAGGGGGCGGGGAAGAGCCAGCTGCCGCTGCTTGGAAAGTCCTTGCTGCACCATGACCGGCTCACGCACGTGGCAGCCGCCGCACCGATTCAATTCACGCACCCTCCGGTAACGAAAAGTATTTAGTAATAGCCTTTTGCTGCAACTTTTTTCCGGATAATCCTTCTTCTTCTGAACTTTCTTTTTCTTTCTGACTAGAGTTCCTGGGCTCTTATCAACACATGCCCTAACTATTCTTGGTTCCACTGGGGTGCCTCCTTCCCTTAGTAATTTACTTCTCACCCCTTCCATATTTTCGTCACAAAGACAATACAATACACCAAGACAAAACAAGACACAAACATGCTGTATCAATCCTTTCCATTTTCTCGAAATGGCCATTTTTCCTCTCGCCCTATCTAGGGAAGAGCAGATTTGCTCCCGTCCTATCTAGGGACGGGCAGCTTTTTTTCATCACTTACCCCCGAGTGTCCCAGTGCTCCTGTTACAGGCCACCATCTGCCACAAGCCCAAATCCAAACCTGACCCAGAGGCACAGTCTCACAGGCTCTTGCTCCCTATGCCCAGTGGCAGTTTGAGTCCGGAACACTCCTCGGACGATTGGACTGGATGCAAAAGTTGATTCTAACTCGTGACTCTAGCGGGATGCACTAAGTCCCACTTACAGTTTCTGAACTAGGAGCCACCAAAAGGGCTGTTCTTGCGGCCATGGGCACTTATATATTCAACTGATACAAAAACTAATTTATCTTACTGCTTTGAAATTGCTGTGTCTTTGCCAGAATATAATTCCTTCACAATTGTTTTAATTTGCATTTCTTTGGCTGTCTTAATGTACTCTTCTTGTCTTTTGTCTAGTTTTATAGGTATATCTATCTAATCCTTCGTACCCAACTTTTTTTTGATGGGGGGTGGATCTCATTGTTGCCCAGGCTGGTCTTGAGCTCCTGGACTCAGTTGATCCTCCCACCTCATCCTCCCTAAGTTGGCACCACAGACATGCCCCATTGTGCCTGACTCATAACCAAGTTTTAATTCTCTTGTAAACTTTTTTACCATTATGATCTGACATGAGTTGATGTGATTCTGGTCTTTCAACGTTACTTCTGCCTAACAGGGCCACATTGTAGCTCCATATAGCACTTGAGTTACAACACTGAAGCCATGCTCCTGGCAGATATGAGAGACCAACTGATAAACATGATGGGATCTGTTAGTTGATTAATGATCAGCTGTCCTTTGGCATGCCCAGGTGTGACACCTGCAGCTCTGAGTGCTGAAAACAGCCTTAACCTGATCTCTATGTAGCCATGATCCAATTGTGTTATCTCAGACAAGTCATTTAATTGCTTTGGACCTCAGTCTTTTTCCAGGTCTAAAATCCTATAATCTACTAAATTCTAATTTATTGTGGTCTGAAGTATTGGTGTTTTACTGTGCTTTGTTTAGGTTTGCTCAGGAATTGACTATATTTAATGTTGTTGGAAATTGACATAATTATGGAAGGCAGTGAGATAATAAATGGTTCTGTTTTCTTCCAGATCTTTGATGATGCATACAAATCCCAACTCAGTTGTGTGGTTGTGGATGATATTGAGAGATTGCTAGGTGAGTCATAACTTTGGCCATGTACTCTCTTTGCCACTTTATAGCTGATGTCTCAAAAAATTAAGAGTCAAATAATGGATATTTATATACTTTAGGGCAAGAGAAATATTGTTCTTCATCATACAAGGAAATATAACTCTACTTCTTGTGTCTACTGTCAATCGTAATATTCATTCATGGTAAAATGCCTGTGACCTTGACTCTGTTATAAACTGCTTTCTTTTAAGGACCCACGTTTCATGTTATTTTCTATCTTGTACAGTGTGTCCTTCATAATAAATTATTAGTATTTTGGAGGGTGATATATTTGCTATTCAGTATCTCTGAGCTGCCTATAGCTCAGAAGTCCACTTGTAAACTTTGACACAATGAAAGAAAGAAGAGTTTAGGATTGTAGTGAAACCCACAAATTTGCTGGAATACTTGGGCAGAAGTTGTAAGCTCTCTGTACATTTGTTTCTATTCTTACAATACAATTTATAATCCTTTCTATGCTAATACCACAGAGTAACTGTGAAAACAAAAATGGGAAAATGAAGGTTGAAAACGTTCTGAAAGTTTCAAGTGCTCTATAGTAATTTTTAAAAATATTTATTAAACATCTTTTATGTTGAAGTGCAGTCCTATGGGACACAAAGATGAGTAAGACTGAGTCTCTGCACTCAACATAGTAATTGCCAGAAAATTCTTGTACTGTTACATTTTATTCATTGTAAAATTAAATCAATCTAGCATAAATCATAACAGTGGATCAGGATAGAATAATAAAATCCATTGGAAAAAAAACCCACCTGGTGACTTAATAAACATCTGAAAATACTACCCAACATCTGATTAACCTTCTATGAGCTTTCCATAATTTTATAGTCATGATTTCAGATTCACGTTCTTACTGTGTTTTCTCCACGATTTTCAGACTTGTCATTAAATTCTGTTTTTTCTTTTTTAAGTTTTGGCAGTGTTTGTCATAAAGCAAAAACAGGTATTCGTGAAATCTCCTTAAATTGATAGTTTTGTCTGATGACCTGGGTTTTGGTGTGCAATGTTTGATACATCTCAGCCCAGTTTATAGGATTATTTCTTTAAAAGCTTTTAGGCACATACTCATAGCTCTGTGTAAATTCCTTTATCTAAACACAATTGAGATGTGTGGTCATAGCAACACCACTATGTCAGGAATGTGTGCCCTCTGAGTATATTTTCACTTGTATGAATAGTTATTTTCTGTTCATGTTTGTTCATTTATTCAACAAGCATTTGCTGAGCCCTTACTACTGTGCTAGAATTACTAGGGTCTCAGAAAAATAAATAAGATTCTGCCTGTCTGTTATAACATATATTGGTAAAAACTAATGCAAAAGGGAATGCTCATGTGTTCTGGATATTTTAAAAACAAAGGGATCCCTTTTGACATCAGGAGGCTGATGCCTACTGGGAGCTCTAAGCCCAGGTCTAGGTTGAATATATAATACTCAGAGACAGCTAAAGAAGTACCATTTATACTGAGTCTTTTTTTGGGGGGGCGGGGGGGTGCTGGGGATAGCACCCAGCAGGGCTTAACCACTGAGCCACATCCCCAGCCCTTTTTGTTATTTTACCTTTTTAAAAAATATTTGTTTTAGTTGTAGATGAACACAATACCTTTATTTTATTTTATTTTTTTGTATGTGGTGCCAAGGATCGAAGACAGTGCCTCATACATGCTAGACAAGTGTTCTACCACTGAGCTACAACCCCAGCCCTGTTATTTTCCTTTGAGATGGTCTCAATAAGTTGCTGAGGGATCCTCCTACCTCAGCCACTATGCAGATCTTGATGTACTAGTTTTCTTTAAAAAAAAAAAAAAAAAAAAAATTTTAATTAGTTGTAGATGGACACAATATCTTTATTTTTATTTATTTATTTTTTTAAATGTGGTGCTGAGGATTGAACCCAGGGCCTCATGCATGTGAGGCAAGCACTCTACCACTGAGCTAAAACCCCAGCCCATTGAAGTACTAGTTTCTAACTGAAAGTTCTTTAGTCATCCACTCTTTACCATCTGAGGCCAGTCTTCATCACCATCATTTCAGTTATTCTGTTGCCATGGTTTGCATCAATTTCTTAGAAATGCTCAATAAATACACTTGGATGCTTTCCCCTTTAAAAAAAAAATTCTGAAAATCAGCTAAAATGTCTACATGAACTCAGAATGGATATTTAGAAGTTTTTGGTTTGTTTGTTTTGAAAAAATGTACAGAAAAGTGTTCTTATGTGACATTTTAAGCATTTAGGTTACTAGAGATTTTTTTTTCTTATTATAAATAGTTGCCTGTTACTTAGGATGATGTTTACTCTTGATGTAGAAAAATCAGAACATTTTGAAGTGTGTAAATGTATATAAGAAGCCTAATCATAACCATGATTCTCTTCCAGATTATGTCCCCATTGGCCCCCGATTTTCTAATCTGGTATTACAGGCTCTTCTTGTGTTACTGAAAAAGGCACCTCCTCAGGTAAAAGAAATAATAATAATAATAATAATAATAATAATAATAATAAGGAATATTTTCACAGACTCTTTCAGTAAATTCCATTTAGTGGTGTACTGTTTCTGAATAAGCCAGGTTGTCGTAAACATAAAATTCTGTTGTTGAAAGGATTTTGAAAGGTCATCTGTATTGTCATGGTTTGCAGCAATTTCTTAGAAATGTTTGTTAAAAACATCTGGATACCTTTCCCCTTGAAGGAGGGGACAAAAAAAAAAAACCTACTCTGAATACCAGAGGCATTCTGTCTAAAGGTAAATTATATTATTAACTGATTTTTTTTCTTTTCCAATTCTTAAAATATCAAAATCTGACAATTTCAGTTAGTATTGTATCTTGCTTTATAAATTCTCCAACATATTCTACATCTTTCCCCACTCTACCTCCCAAGAGAGATGATGATATTAATGTAGAAGGGATTCAAAATGTGTTCCTGTTTGTTGCATTTAAGAGTTTTTATTTGAGGGCTTTTAAGTTTATTTACTATAGGCAAGGCTTTTTGTTTGTTTTGTTTTGTTTTTTAACTTTTACAGATGTTGAGTCATCATTGTAAGATGATGACTTCTGTAGTCACATGGTACTTTTAAGGAATGATATTATAGTCAGGCTCTTGATTCTTTTTTTTTTTTTTTCTCTTTATTATTTATTTCCAAATGACTCTACACATTTATGGGGTACACAGTGATAGGCTCTTGATTCTTGTGATTGCATTTCTACTGATGTGGCTACTAGAGACTGGTGATTTTCTTAACTTAACAAATTTAAACCAACCTTTTTTTTTTTTTTTAAAGAGAGAGAGAGAGTGAGAGAGAGAATTTTAATATTTATTTCTTAGTTTTTCGGCAGACACAACATCCCTGTTTGTATGTGGTGCTGAGGATCGAACCCGGGCTGCACGCATGCCAGGCGAGCGCGCTACCGCTTGAGCCACATCCCCAGCCCCTAAACCAACCTTTATAGGTTGGTTAAATATTGTAATTATATAGGGGCTGCCAGAGCATGTTTGGTTATGTCTCAAGATAAATTCTCTTGATTGATTCTCTGTGTTATAACCTTGACAAAATGCCAATCAAGTCATATTCAAAGGGCTTAAGCATTAATTTGGAAAACATCTTAGTGTCTATATGGGAATTTTATACATGAATATATATATATCTATAGGGAAAATATTTAATGTTAAGTTGATGAATCTAATTTTTAATTTAACAGTTAAAATAATGTGTATGTATATTTTACATTTAAGGATAAAGGACTATCCTGATTTTCTAGATTGAGGGAATTTTTAAAAATTTCTAGAGTAGTGAAAGAAATCTAACCTACAATACCCTTGAAAATTTGCTACATATATGCACTGTGGGAGGATTTTTAAACCCTCGTTCCATAAATCATTTTTCCCAGGACTGGAATTTGAGCTTATACTAAGGCTTAAGTTGGAGAAGTGACTCTATTTTTCCCTTTTCTGGTTCCTTCAATATTCTTATAAATATGTAAATATGTCTAAGGTTGTTGAAACAAAAATAATCTCTAAAATGTATTCTGCTGTCATGTATAACTAATTAGAATAAATTTAAAAATTTTTTATTTATAATTTCTACCCAATACCTATGTAGGTATCACAACCACAAAAATCCCTTTTTTAATGAAGTTAGCATATTTAAAATTATTAGAATAAAAAATGTCTTCTGGGCATTTAAACTTATTTCTTGTAATATTCAGGTTTTTTATTTAAAAAATATGCTAAGAGTCACTTGGGAGAAGGAAGAATAATTTTCATTGCTATTTTGAACAACTTGTTCTTTACATGGTTAAATACTACATACATTGATTTAAATAAGATACATCTTCTGGCCAAAAGTTTTTTGTAATCCAAAATAGATTCTAATATAGAAATAAACAGAAAATGTTTAAATTTTGATTAAAAACTTAAGAACTTTATATTTATTAGAATAATTGTAAGATTCTTAAGGAACATTATCTAATGCTTTTAAATCTTACATCTGGCATAGAGGCTTACACATATATGCTTCATGAGTAAGTTATTCAACAAAAATATATCTTATTAAATATAAATTTTTATATCTTCTCATTTTGGTGGGCTTAAGTGTTTTAGTATTGTTTGAGTTTATATTTAGACAGGGTATGATTAAAGTAGAAATATTAAAAAATAAGTAAAGTTCAAATGGTCAATAAGTACACAAAAAGAGTTAACATCATTCATCATCAGGGTAATGCAAATCAAAACCAATTCAGTGAGGGACCATTTCATACCTACTAGGTTGGATCTAGTCTAAAGGTCAGATAATAATACGGTGAAAAAATTGACCCATCTAACACTACTGGTGAGAATGTAAAAATTGTGCAGTCTTTGGAAAATAATCTGGTAATTCCTTAAAAGGTTAATCATCAAGTTAGCAGATGGCTCATCAATTCACTCCCAGGTAGGTACCCAAAAAGAAAATATTTGCCTATATAAATTATTGTATATGGATGTTCATGGTAATATTATTCATAAAAGAAGTAGAAACAATACAAATGTTCATCAAATAAAATAAAATCTAATGTATCCCTACAGTGGAATACTATCTACCAATAAAAAATGCAGTACTGAATGTGCTACAACATAACATGGACAAACCTTGAAAACACATAAAGAAACCAGTCCCAAAGGCCACACTATACAATTCCATTTATACAAAATGCTCAGAATTGGCAAATGTATAGAGACAGAAAGTAGATTAGTGGTTGCCTGGGGCTGAGAGGGGTGGATGGGGAGACTAGGAGGTGACTGCTAATGGGTATGGAGTTTCTTTTTTGGACTGATGAAAATATCCTAAAATTGATTGTGGTGACAGTTGCACTTATCTGTGAATATACTAAAAACTGTTTGTTGTGTGCTATGTGAATTACATCTCAATAAATTGGTCACAGTTTTTAAAATGTGGTTTCAGATGCTACTTCAATGATGAAAGGAGAATTATATGGAGAGTTAGAAGTGAAGGGTGAGCATCCAAGGTACATGGCTCAGCTTGGTTAGAAACAGCAATTAGATCATTAAAAAGGCATGTGGAACAAACTTCTCTAAGGACTGAAGAGAAAGGATATAGGAAACATAGGAGTAAGAGATCTGGTTGCCTTAGTGATGGGAAATGGCAGGGATTCTCTTTTAAAGGAATTAATCCAGAATGCGTTCACTCTGACCTGGTCTGCCTAAGATGACCTGTGGTATAAGCAGCAGGAGAAATTAATATTTGTAATATTTTTAATTGGCACATATTTAAGAAAATGAAGAATGCCTTTTCCGTACCACGTTGTTTTGTAAAATTAGTTTCTATTATCTCAAGAATATAAAGGAAAAATGTTCAGGCTGATCTAATATCAAGAATGTTTGGGGGCTGGGGATGTGGCTCAAGCGGTAGCGCGCTCGTCTGGCATGCGTGCGGCCCGGGTTCGATCCTCAGCACCACATACCAACAAAGATGTTGTGTCTGCTGATAACTAAAAAAATAAATAAATATTAAAAAAAAAAAAAAAGAATGTTTGTAACTCTAAAGTGGGCGGATTCACTTCACCAGTCCATTATCACGTAGGTTTTTCAGATGTTTTCAGTTTAAAAAATATATATATGCATCTGAATGTTGTAAGGTGCATAAAGGTAGAAAACTATTATTTACCACTGGCAAGAAAACAAAAGATGTGGGCATTTTTCTTTAAAAAGAGAACTGTACATGGATTACAATACAGCAATCATATCAGTCACAGAATCCTTAATGTTGCATTTGTTGTAAATCCAGCTTTCACACAGAAAAATTGTGTGTGCATGTGTGCACATGCTCAAATAAAAGAATCCCTCCAGGGACACTATGTTGTTATGTATCAAGATATTCTCTTTTTCCACTTCCACCCCTCCCCCACCCCTCCCTTCTTGTAAATTGGCTTATTAAAACTGGTTCACAAGCCCTCCTTTTTTCCCTTTGTGATTGCCTTGCTCTTGGATTTTCAGTGTAGAACTAAAAATTCAAGTCAGATTTCAGTTACTAGGATAATTTTCTTTGAATTTTAAATTTTTCTAAGTAAATGCATAGATTTTTAATGAACCTGGTATTCAGTGGATTTGCTTTAAATTTAGCTGGAGAGTTAATTTCATGATTGATTTATTAGCCCTTTGAAAGTATAAAAAGTGGTATCCGTAGTTCATGAAGACTGAAAAACATCATCACATTTTGTTTAGCATCTTTTTAAAACCAATTAAAAGCTTTTCTAAAATGGATTGAACAGGAGAAAATAAAACATGTTCCCTAGGTCTTTATTTCAATCAAGTTTCCCTGTGTTCTGCAGGAGAAGAGACCGAGGGGGGATAGAAAAATTGAAAAGGGCTGTCCCAGCAGGGAGCCCAGCCGGAGAAAAGGCTTCTCTGAGAACTCAGCAGCAGCAGCTCAGAAAGCTCCCGGCCTGCTTCATCTACATGCAGAGTCACACAAGGCATGGGGGCGCTCACCGGCACACAGAGGTTTCACATGTGCTTCCCTGCTGATTCCTGTGAAAAGCTAACAATTGGCTTGGAGGGTAAAAGACCACTGCAGTTCACCCTCCCTGAGCTGGACGTACAATTTGTCCAGTGTTAGGAAATGTCCGGCTTAGAGTGAGAGGCTTGAAGACACCCCTCCTTCCATGAGATTCCTAAAGCCTTCTCTTTTACTTGATGACACTGGGGCTCTTTTCAAGTTTTGCAGATTTATGGAAGTTGAGGGGGATGTGCTTTTCCAGATCAGGAGGATGAAAGCCTCCGGTCTTAATGTCAAGGAAGAAGCAGCAGTAAAGAAGGGAAGGCCAGGTAGATCCTGCAGCCAGCAGCACCAGGGCTTTATTATTTCCCTCATGGGTCTCTTCTGCCACTTTTTTTTTTTTTTGAGGCAAAATAAATTGCCCAAAAAGGGGCACCTCAGACTTAAAATTATGTGACTTCCCAG